AAACGCCAACGGTTTTTGCCAAATAAAAATTAGTTTTTAATTCCCCGTTCAATTTAAAGAAATGACCTCTTTTGAATTGTTTTCCTTCGATGCGCCATTTTTGAGTAAAAAAATAAAAACCGTTCTATTATCTAACTTGCAAAATTATTATTAATTTAATTGGAAAAATTAAACACATTAGGGGTAATGAACAACAACTGATAACATAAACATAACATTAAAACCAACATAATTATTACAAAAATTGTTGAAAATGGCCCCCTTCACTTAGTATGCATGCATCCGCCCTCCTTCTCATGGAATTGCGCACTCGTTGAAATATCCCTGGAGTGCCTTTTATTCCATCACAAGCTGCAACTATTCTTTCTCTTAATTATTCCTCTACAGTGTTAATGGGACTTGTGTACACTAGTGTCTTAAGATAGCCCCATAAAAAGAAATCTAAACTGTTGTGGTCTGGGGACCTTGGTGGCCATTTTTGGGGCTCACCGCGGTCAATCCAATGATTTGGATAAGCAGTTTGTAAATAATTACGAACCGCTACACTGAAATGCGCTGGTGCACCATCATGCATGTACCACATATTGTTTGTTATTACTAATGGAACATCATCAAGCAGCAAAGGCAACTGTTGTTGAAGAAAATTGAGGTAAGTCTGTCCGTCAAGGCGTCCCGGCAAGAAGAATGGCCCAATAAAGTGGTTGCCAATAACTCCTGCCCATACGTTAACCGAAAATTGGTGTTGGAAATGGGTTTCTGTTACGGCATATGGATTTTCTTCTGCCCACAAATGATTATTGTAGAAATTCTGAATGGCATTTCGAGAAAAATTGACAAAAGGTCACCCGCCTTAGAAAATCAATGGGAAGTAATGCCTGTGCTCTTAAAATATGGTAAAGATATAATAAAAAATCCACTAAAATTCTCCAAACAGTTTGATGGCAAATATTTAAGTGTCTAGCGATCTTCCTCGTACTTGTTTCAGGATGTTCTTCGACTTCGTGCAGCACTGCTTCCTCGATTTCAGGTGTTCTCACACTTAGAGGTCTACCTTCAGATGTTCGTTTTCCGACAGAACCAGTTTCAGCAAGACGACGATGAATATTAGAAAAGGTTCGACTATCTGGAAAAGCACGATCGAAATATCTCTGGTGATAAATCCGCCTGGCTTGCTCTCCATTACCGTCGGCAAGGCCATATACGTACGTAATGCATTTCCGCCATTTCTGCATTTGAATAATTCACCATTATTAACAAGATTAAATAATGAAAAAGATGTCACAGTGGACAAATTTGAAAAACAGAGACTTGTCAGATGTCAAAAGCCAGTGACATGTTCCAGAACCAGTAGATATTTATTGCTAAATTGTATTCTTCAATTATTACATTAGTTTTCTCGGACAATAGAACGGTTTTTACTTTTTTTTACTCAAAAATGGCGCATCGAAGGAAAACAATTCAAGAGAGATCATTTGTTTTAAATTGAACGGGGAATTAAAAATTAATTTTTATTTGGCAAAAACCGTTGGCGTACCATTTTTTTCTTAAAAAATATAGAAGTCAATACCCGTACACATGCCACTGTTAAAGCTAAAAATAATTTTTGCCTTGAAAAATATGCAACTTTATTACCTTTCACTAAGTATCAGTGAAATATCTGATGCGGTTCTGAAAATATTAATTAATTTCCATTTTTTTCCTAAAACTGTAACACCCCGAGTTTTTGTAAGGATACATTTTTGGACCATAGTTTGTAAAGCAAACTGATAATAATTTTTCATGTAGATTCACACCCTTAAATATTTGCATATCATCAAGGAACACCCTGTATATATACAGACTTCGAAGTTGAGGTATTTATTTTAACAGTGAGTAGATCTGATCAAAAGAAATGTTTTTTCCTTTACCATTTTTCTGGTAAAATTAAAGTAACAAAGTTATAGCCCTTTGGAAGTTTGAGTACCGCCCTGTCTCAATAATAATATCATGTGCTCGTGTTTGGCAACAACGGATATAATCCGCCTTATCGGTTCATCGCATCGGAAACAAAAAAGCGAAAGAATTTGGAACGATGTTTTTACAATTATTTTATTCAGTTCAGTTATACATACAGTTAGTGTCAGTCGGTAACGCGTGTGAATAGTGTCTGTTGCGTGGCTCAAACGAAATAAAAATGGCACATGTTTATGCGGATCGGTTTCCCAATCGAGTGCAACCAACCCCTCGTGCCTTTGTTAATGTAGTACAACGGGCTCGTGAATCAGGTGACTTAAAACCTCACAGGGGACGTCACGATCAAATACAGGTCTGCACTGAAATACTTGTCGGGAGGATACTTTATAAAACAAGGTAAAATTTTTTTTTTAATTTTTTTTATTTTTACATACATATTTTCTGAAAATTAATGACTCAACTTCAAAGTATAGTGGACACAGTTATTTTTCGTAACCAGCTAGGAGAAAGTATCCTTGATATGTCTTTGGGAACTCGACAAAAATTTTGCAAAGCGCACTCCTCTAACTTTAAAAACCAAGCTTTCGGTGTTCTATTTCTTCATCATCAGGAGCTAAAAACAAATTTAGAAAATAACAACTATAAACAATTAAGTGATATTTTACGTATTACTGACTAAGTCGCCGAGATTGTTGCTGAATTGTTCTCAGATGAAGGTGGATGAGACCACATAGTAAAACGATAAAAAAAAAACTTGAAGTATGAGGATCATTTGTAAAAAATCATAGCTATGATTTTTAAAAATATACATAACACCTATTTATAAATATATAGGATGTTTCAAATTCGACCCTCACCTTTGGTATCTCGCAAACTGTAACAGATACAAAATCGCTTGGGGGAAAGGTTGCGTATTTAAGTAGACAATAAAATAAAGTTTCAAAATTCAGAGTACTTCCGGAGAGAGAGCGGAAAAAAAACGAATTTTCCCAAAGCTGTTTCAATGTTTTCCTGACTTCATTTGTAGAGGGTTTTCAAAATATGCTTGCAAATTATGTTGCCACTTTTTCTCCTCTACAAGATGGCATAATTAGAATTTTAATATGATATTTCATCTCGTGTCCTCCAGCATCAACTGAATTTTTTCTTATGGACGCCATGTTAGATTTTTGCACAGGTGAATGGAATTCGCAATTCTGAATATGAAAATATATGATACATCATACATTGACATTCAAAAACTTTAGTTATGTCAAAAAAGCAGAATTTCCTAGGTTGGCCTCATTTGTAGAGGGTTTTCAAAATATGCTTGCATATTATGTTGTCACTTTTTCTCCTCTACAAGGTGGCATAATTAGAATTTCAGTATGATATTTCGTCTCTTGTCCTCCAGCATCAACTGTATTTTTTCTTATGGACGCAATATTGGATTTTTGCAGAGATGAATAGAATTCTCAATTCTAAATCTGAAAATGTATGATACGTCATACATTGACATTCAAAAACTTTAGTTATGTCAAAAAAGCAGAATTTTATAGGCTGGCCTCATTTGTTTCGCGTACCAGATTTATCACAGAATCACTTTTATTTTTGCCTGACTTTATTTGAGATGAGATTTCAAAATAAACTGCAACAACATTGCCACCTTTTCTCCTCTATAATCAGAATTTCAATATGACGTTTCGCCTCTTGTCCTCGAGCATCAACTTTACTTTTTCTCTTGGACATTTTGTTGGATTTTTGCGCAAATGAATAGAGTTTTCACTTCTGACTTGAAAAATGTATAGTATGTCATAGATTGACACAGCCAAACCTTAAGTATTCCAGAAAAACAAAAGTTCCTAGGTAGGCCTTGAAATTGTCAATGTTATTGTGCAATTTATTTTGAAACAAATAAGGTCAGGAAAAAATCGGTTTTGGTAAAATTTGTTTTTTCTGCCTCTCTCCGGAAGTACTTTGAATTTCAAGACTTTTTAAGCTGCATTATGTTAATTACCTAAATACAAAACTTTGCCCCTATTTAAGCGACTTCGTATCTTTTACATTTTCCGAGATTAAAATGGTGAGCGCCGCATTTGAATCACACTGTAGAAGGTGTTCCATTTAAAAAATCCAACTTTATCCGATAGCACTTTTCTGAGACAAAAAAAAAATATTACATAAAAAACCTCATAATAGACCTTATAAGCTTTATATAAAACTTTTTTCTGGAATGTCATATAAAAAAGTTAGACGGAGTGGAGAAGTTTTGATCAATCGCTTACCTAACCCTAAGAAACATGAATAGAAAAATTTGTTGTAATAAACGCACTGTTACTCGATGTTCTTTTTCTAAGTCAATTATATAGTATATTTAATGAACGAATCAATCTATCACTTTAGCTTGCTTTTCTCAGGAAGTAAAAATCAGAGGGTATTTCCATGTCCATTAAAGTCTATCAGGTGTGTTTAACACAATTTTCGCAATCCTTTTGTCCCCGTTTTACGGACCATCCATTTCGACGATTTTTACGCTGACAGCCAAAGCCTACATTGGTTGTCACTAGCGAAACTGCACGGAGGTTTCAGTCAGTAGCGTACTTGAGGTCGTGTGGGGTCTATGTCCTAGCGAAAAATATCTCATAAATCTACCGAAAACATATCGACTACAATATTGCTTATCAGTTCACGAACGGTCTGGTATTTAGGTTCTGCTTCGCTTACGTCACAGCCACACACGAGCTCATAACAGAGTCATCGTCATCATCGCATTTGTCAGCGTGTAAACTCAGTCATTGCTGCACAGATGATAATAATAATGATCATCTTTTACACACGCTTTTATAGCTTGGCCTGTATGTATGTAATGGAATCTTTGAGCATAATTCTCACCAACTTACAGAAGTTTGATTAATTTGAAACTTCGCTCACGTATCAAGGACCGATGGCAATGCAATAATTTGATAACAGTTTTCCATTATCCTTATAAGTAAAAATCTGTAAAAAGCAGATAATGTTAATAAAATGCAACGGATTTCAAATGCCGCTTTACGAATAATGAAACTACCGTCTCTGCAGCACAGTGGAAGAGCACAAGTGTTGTAAACCAAAGGTCGTGAGTTCAATCCTTACAGGAGGCAGATTGCGGTATAGCTTTTTTTATTTTTTAACACGCTTTTATTAGCTTGGCCTGTATATATGTATGTAAAGAAATCCAGAAGTTTGATTAACTTGAAACTTCGCACACGTAGCAAGGACCGATGGCAATGAAATAAATTTGATAAGTTTTACATTATGCTGATTAGAACCGCCAGGCTTGATAAATTCTTTTATAGATCCTCTGTAGGGGAGTAAAGAGGGAGAGCTGGCGCGCGATCTGCGTGCAGTTTCAGACTTACTCTTTGTTGGTTAGGACACTCGGCACAGCACAGAAAGGTAGCGCATTCTCACCTTGTTCATTTCGAAAGTTGCCATTCATCCTGAGTTGGGCTTCGACCGTCCTCAAGATGCAAGGTTGTGCAGTCGATCAGGCAGTCATTTATCTAGGCTCGCGACTGTTTGTTGCTGGACAAGCTTATGTAGCACTTAGTCGTGTAAGATGTTTAGATGGTATTCGGATCGAAGAACATGATTGCTCTAAGTTAACAGGAAAAATTCCATGCAACAGTGAATCTTTAAATGAAACGATTAGATTACGAAATGATTCGTAGGACATTTCAATACCACATGTCCACAAAAAATTAATTGATCAATAGAACTAAAAAATGAAAAACAAATAATAGTTTAAAAAACTAAAAAACACGCTTTTATAGTAAACCGAACTCAAAAGTGGAAAATAATTTTTAATTACAAAGAGTTGATATTACAGTAGTAGATGGTCGAGCAATCAATCATAACACTGATCAACAGCCAAAAAATATCCTAAATAAAATCAACAAAATATTACTATTTCTAATGTGCTAAAACCGGAATGAAACTTATTTTTTCAATATTAATTCAAGTTTTAGAGATACGGTAATTATATGTGTTCCTGCTGTGACAGTGTTAATAGACTGTAATTCACAAGAATGCACGTGCTACATTTTTATATTCGGCAAGGAAAGATGAAGTAATCGGCATGTTTGTGTTACGTTATACATACGTGTACATTATGTATCGTTTTATATTAGCCATTTTTTCCTCAGATGGCTGACAGCGTTCATGCAAGATGTCTCGAAAGTGTGTAAACAATCCAGATCAGTTTTGTTACGTGTGTGGTGATGTGACTTTTGCGTCTCAGAGACGGTCTATTACTCTACTAATAACAAAGGCATATCAGCTTTATTTCGGTTGTAAACTAGGTGATCAAGACAAACAGTGGGCACCCTACATCTGCTGTAATACATGTGCTTCAAGTCTGAGGAGCTGGTTAAATGGCAAAAAACGGTCTATGCGCTTGTCCCAATGGTTTCGAGAGAGCCTACAAATCATATTAATGATTGTTACTTTTGCATGGTACCTTGTGTTGGACAAGCCACAGGTATGTCCAAGAAAAAAAATCAAACATACCATCTGCGATGAGACCTGTGCCTCACAGTGACGAAAATCCTATTCCAAAACCCCCAGAATCCTACACTTGCGAATCAGAAAACGAATCAGATCATGGTGATCGAGTGATTCCTCAGGAAGAAGATATGCCATCAACGTCAAGAGATCCTGATTTTATACCGAGCACGTCATGCCACCAACCGCAGAAAATAACACAGTCAGAATTAAATGATCTTGTAAGAGATTTAGAACTTCCAAAATGTAAGGCAGAGTTACTTGGATCAAGACTGCAGCAGTGGAACTTGTTAGAAGACGATGTTCCACAAAGACTTAAAACCATTTTTCAATATGGAGAATAACTTGGTTTTCTGCAGTAACATTAACGGCTTACTGGCGGCTTTAAATATAAACTATAACCCAGAAGAATGGAGATTGTTTATAGACAGTTCAACATTGAGCTTAAAGGCAGTGTTATTGCATATTGGAAATATTTTACCATCTCTTCCTGTAGGGTATGCAGTTCACATGAAAGAATCATATGACAATATGAAATACCTATTGACATGCATAAAATACGATGAGCACCAATGGCATATTTGTGGCGATTTGAAAGTTATTGCACTTTTACTTGGGCTGCAGCTAGGCTACACAAAGTTTTGCTGTTTTTTGTGTGAATGGGTCAGTCGGGTAAAGGCACTTCATTACACCAGACAAAACTGGCTTGTTCGTGAGCCAGGTCAAAAAATGTACAGCATATGCCATTAGTAGATTCGAAAAAAATTTCATTACCACCACTGCATATCAAGTTGGGCCTAATGAAAAACTTTGTCAAGGCATTAGATAGAGATGGGTCAGCCTTTCAATACCTGCGTCAGAAATTTCTAAGACTAAGTGAGGCAAAGGTTAAAGAAGGTATTTTTGTTGGGCCACAGATTCGAAATATTTTGGAAGATACACAGTTTGAAAACACTTTAACAGGTATTGAAAAAACTGCTTGGAATGATTTCCGTCTGGTGGTCACTAATTTCTTGGGAAATAGAAAAGCTGACAACTATAAAACCCTTGTCAAAAATATGCTGTCATCGTATCAAAAGATGGGCTGTAGTATGTCTCTTAAGATACATTTCCTACACTCACACCTGGACTTCTTTCCTGACAATTGCGGAGCCGTAAGTGATGAGCACGGCGAACGTTTTCATCAGAATATTTCAACAATGGAAAAAAGGTACCAGGGATAGTGGAATCCTTCCATGCTTGCAGACTACTGTTGGACTCTTGGTAGAGATGCTCCAGAAACGATCCATAAAAGAACAGCAAAAAGACAGCGCATATAGTGATTCTTATAAGTATATGAATCTTGTTACTTTTTTCAATATATCCTTAAAAATAAAAAGTTTTTTTTCTAAACCGCAACTAATTTTTTTATTTCATTGTCATTTTTGGATTCAGCGCCCCAAAATTAACAAAGAAGTGCACTTTTCCCACAAGATACAATTAAAAAACTAAAATTTGTTGTCCAGTGAATTAATAACCTCAAAGTAAAATGATAATAAAATTTAAGTTATTAACAGAATAATTCAATCCGGCATAAAAAGCGTGGGGTGCATTTTAATACATTACCATAACTCTCATCTCATAGATAGTTGCCTAAATGATTGGAATGATTGTAACATTTAAAATATCAATCACCCCACGCTTTCTACTCCGAATTGAATTATTCTGTTAATAACTTAAGTTTTATTATAATTTTATTTTGAGGTTACCAATTATGATTGATTGTTCGACCTTCTACTACTGTAATATAAACTCTCTGTAATTAAAAAATATTTTCTACTCTTTAAATCGGTTAGCTATAATAGCGTGTTTTTTTTTAGTTTTTTTAAACTATTATTTATTAATTTGTAATAAAATTACAGGAGGCGACATTTAGATACCGTATTTATTCTACCAACAATATGAAATGTATGTAAACTGAAACTTTTTTGAGAATTAATACCCGTATAGGAAGCGACAAAGTAAAGTATAATACATATAAAGGCATAAAGAAAACATAAGGTCAGTTAACACTTATGGGCTACAACAGATTTCGCTGCTTATCAAATAGAATTTATTTCACCTTTTTCTTGAATTTAGGTAATGAATTAGTTTCTTACAAACTACGGTCTAAATAATCATATAATTTGATCACATTGTAAATATACTAAGTGACATATAAATCCGAACACCCAGTTTAAATGGTTTTATTTTAATAAAATTTTGTTTAAGTACTTAATGAAGCATAATAAGTAAATGATAAAAATTTCAAAATGATTGCACTGCTTTAAAGCCCTTTGACCTTTAATAAAGTGTGGATGCACCCTGATGTGCTACGCATTCTCCAACGCGCCTAGGCATGCTTCTGATCAGGTGGTCAATGTCCTCCTGTGGTATCTCATTCCAGGCAACCACCAACTCCTCTCGAAGTGCTTCTAGAGTCTGAGGAGGACGTTGCAAATTGAGCAATCTCCTACCCATCATATCCCACACGTGCTCAATTGGGGATAAGTCGGGAGATCTTGGTGGCCATGGTAACAATGTGACATCATTATGTTGAAAGAAGTCTATTGTGACTCTTGCAACATGTGGTCGGGTATTACCTTGTTGGAAAGTTGGATCTGCCAGGGTGTCAAGATATGGTAAAAGATGGGGTTCTAGAACTTCGTGGATATAACGCTGCGCGTTCATGTTACCTCTGATGAAGATTAAAGGTGACCTGGAACCATAAGCTATAGCACCCCAAACCATAACTCCAACAGTGTGATGAACATGTCTTTCAACAAAAAACTGTGGATTCCTCCTTTCACCACGTCGCCTTCTAACCCTGGCACGACCATCGTGCATGCCTAAACTAAATCGAGACTCGTCACTAAAGACAATACCGTTCCATTCCTGATCCCAGAGTGACCGTTGTCTGCACCACTCAAGGCGATTACGTCGGTGTAAGGGTAAGAAGGCAACGTGGTGAAAGGAGGAATCCACAGTTTTTTGTTGAAAGACATGTTCATCACACTGTTGGAGTTATGGTTTGGGGTGCTATAGCTTATGGTTCCAGGTCACCTTTAATCTTCATCAGAGGTAACACAAACGCGCAGCGTTATATCCACGAAGTTCTAGAACCCCATCTTTTACCCTATCTTGACACCCTGGCAGATCCAAATTTTCCAACAAGGTAATGCCCAACCACATGTTGCAAGAGTCACAATAGACTTCTTTCAACATAATGATGTCACATTGTTACCATAGCCACCAAGATCTCCCGACTTATCCCCAATTGAGCACGTGTGGGATATGATGGGTAGGAGATTGCTCAATTTGCAACGTCCTCCTCAGACTCTAGAAGCACTTCGAGAGGAGTTGGTGGTTGCCTGGAGTGAGATACCACAGGAGGACATTGACCACCTGATCAGAAGCATGCCTAGGCGCGTTGGAGAATGCGTAGCACATCAGGGTGCATCCATACATTATTAAAGGTCAAAGGGCTTTAAAGCAGTGCAATCATTTTGAAATTTTTATCATTTACTTATTATGCTTCATTACTTATACAAAATTTTATTAAAATAAAACCATTTAAACT